TTTTTTTTTTTTTTTTTTTTTTTTAGAACTATTCAAGGGAAAAAGACAGACCGGCAAGACTGCCTTAGCATGAGAACGGAGGAGAAAGATACACCCATACGACCACTCCGTTACACACACCCATTAGTTGAATACAAAACACCAATCCCGTATGAAAACATACAAAATAGGAGCTCCGAAGCACACAAGTAGCCAGCAAAATTACGAGTCAAAATCATACACACTGTCGTTCCCCGACGCGTTTCGTCTACACCGCCCATAGTCTCATCAGGGGGATTAAGGCCACCGAGCACTCCATTCATCAACTCAGAATCCCGAGGTCATACCAATGCCTTGCCTCGTATTTATACCATTACCCTACTCCTACCCTGACATCCCGTACAAGCAAAAGCCAAAACTCCAGTCCCCGATCCATGTGAACGTACTCCCGCTCTATCATGGTGGCCACAGCGCGCCCTCCAGCTGTCATCGAAACTCGTCCGGGAGGGAGCGCACACCGCACAAGGTAGATACACCAGCAGGAAGACATATAACAGAAGCACGAAGTCGTGCAAAGTGTATAGCACGAAAGGCACACCCCGCCTGCCATCGCTGCCCTCAGGCACCGTTGTAGCCAGCGCGGAAAGCAACCGTCTCAGCACGTTCGTAAATGCAGACGAATGAAGGACTGAGGTACCGCACGTTACTCCTTATATGACCATGACAGCGGCTTTAGGAACCAGAAACCGTCGCACCGAATAAAAGGAGAAAGAGCTCTACAAAGCACCTGGGCAAGAAATAGTCCTTATTCATACTGCACCGAGGATCAGAAACAGAAAAAGCACCTAGCCTGGACCGTGCGTCCAATAAGTCCCTGAAAACCGTCAGTGTCAGTGTAAAAAAATGCGCGCAACACAAAATTAAGGAACCTCACCTAGAGGCGAACCACCGCCAAATACACTATCTTAACGAAAAACTCCATCCGACAAGTGTAAGGATCCTACGCAACCTAGCCAATACATCTTCCCCAAGGTACCTGGCAAGAACCAGGTCCAAATACAAACAAAAAAACAAAGCAAGACATCCCGCCGGGTCTGTAATGTTCGTTGCACAAAGTTCCTAAGAACCGCTACTGCCACCGAATCCCAAAATGTCATACATTCCTCAACACGTAGATGATCCAGAACTGTACCCGGAGCACCGTAAGCCCTAAGAAGACCCCAGCATAAAGTACAGTGTGAAACGACCCGGATACCTCATTACCAACGGTACACCGAGTCAGAGACGTAGAAAACCCAAAAAAAAATCACATTCATCCTCCCATCCTACTGGAAACAGCACCCCTATCCAAATCACGACCGGCAAGGGAACATAGACACCGGGCCGGGCCAACTAGCCTGCTTGGAAAAAGGCCAAGCCCCAAATCAGAGACATAATGCCATTATGTCGACCGCAAATCCCCTGATCTTTGAAGCAAAACGAGAAAAAACTTCCGAGATCATCCTAGGTGGGTAATGCCTTGTCAAGAGTTCCCTTTTCACTGCATGCTTACCCCATACGTCAGAGGAAAGACGAAAAATCCGATGCAGCGTACTAAGGATAGCCCCAGCCTTGGCCTTCTTACTAGAATAGGATTCAAAATCCTGGAAACCCGCGTAAACCAACTGCCCAGATTCCCAAAGACTCAGCGCATTTTTTAATATGGCCACCGTCCGCAGCGAGGTACCATACCTGTGGACCATAACCCCGGCAAAGACCCAATGACCTAGCTCATCATCCGTCCGAACCAGTCTCAGCACTTGTCCATAGCAAGACAGGAAATAGTTCAGAATTGCTTTTGCCTTCCTAACTCCCTGCTCACCCACAACTGCAATGAAAATCGTCAAATCATCAACAATTCGGAATCCCCGAACCAGGCGTCCGTCCATACCCAAGGTCCGTAGGAACCTAAATTCAGCATGCGAACAAAGGATATAGGCAAGGGGACAACTTGACGATTTGCCCATAGGGACCCCCACCATCTGTTTCAACAGACATCCATCGGATCGGATGAAAGTAAAGCATAGATCAAAGCGAACCATCATTTGAATCTCATCAAGTGATACGAGGATGCATTCGTCTCTGGATCCCCCATAAGAAACCCAAGCCTTCCTACCACGTTTAGCTACCTTAACCCCATGACACCCTTTATCCCGAAACAAGGAGGTTAACCAATCGGTTGCACTCAGAATGTCCTCATGCGGGAGGGAGACGAACATGTCCTTGATATCAAAAGAGGCCGACAGGAGATCATGATAACACCTCAACCTGTCAAAAGCCACACTCATAGCATCAAGGCCTGGAACCAAATCCATAACAACTCAAAGATTGAAACCGGAGTGAGGTGGCAATGCGAACAACATAGCATTCAGCGCCCTCGCCACCCTGGAGCTAGCAAGTCTGGATGGTTCAGCAAAGGTGGGTGAGATCGGGCGCCAGCGGGTGAGGTCCTTATGCTTGGGCAAAGCATAAGCATCTCCAAATCTACCCCCCGAATCCCACCTACCCAACCTACTTAATCCCAGGTTATGGTATACTTCCCTCATGCGCTTAAGAACCAGGCTCTCCTCCCTCAAGACAGGACAAAAGGATACATTCCAATTGAACGTCAAATACAGGTAATGCCTGCAGAGAATCGGGCAAATAACAAGAGTGTCTGAACAATTGCGATCGATCGAAAAGCAGAGAAAGGCCTAAGGCGTGAGAACCAAGACACCAAATCGGGAGCACATGCATGGGGTGGGAAGTTGTTCACTTCAGGCCAACAGGCCCGCAAATGGGCTGGAGTAACAATAAAGGAGGAACGCATATAGCTAGCGACCTTCACAAGCTGCTTACCCAGCTGCAGAACCCCCTCCTTGGGGAGAACACGCAGGATATTCCGCGAGTTTCTGAAAAAGCAAGGAATACCTGGAATACCCCCGATCCTCGTCAGAATGTGCAAACCCAATCGATCCCAGGTAGGCTCAAACTGACAAACACACACCCAAGGATGGTCTTCACTCGAAAGCTGCTGCACCGTACGGAAGTACTCAGCCACCGTACAATTCCTATTCCAAACCAGGTGGATCTTCCTTCGAAGAATGCCTTTAATGCCATCAGGAAAAGAGGAAGCACCCAGGATCCTCAACATCAAACCATGCACTCATGCAGTGTCGATCCGATGATCATAATAGAGTTTCACCACTATCCTGGTGCGCACATCGATCCCCTCCCTAGCTTTGATAGCTCTAGCCAGAATACCCCGAAGGGTAGTGCGCGTGCTCTTACCAGAGAAACCCCGAGCCGCCTTAAACCAACGGATAAGTGAGGCAAGGGGCATCAATCGTAGGAGACAGCGCCTCCAGCGCTCCAGTAACAACAATCGTAGGTGCCCTTTGTGGATAGCTCGGCCATTCGGGGTGAACATAACAACACGAAAACACCATGTACCCCCTAGCTGCAGATCAACCTCCAAATTTTTTAGCAAGCAAGTACCTGTCCCAACCCGGACCAGCGAAAGACCAAAGTTCCTTCGGATAAGCGGCCAGGTGTCCGCCCACAAATTACCCGAGGAAAACGCCAGCACCAGATTCTTCTGATTACGCAAAATCGCACGCCTAAGGAAATACAACAAGCTATCAGACCAGACCCCACCATGTTCGCGAAAAATCATCAGGCCAAGTGCGGAAGACGAAGGAACGTTACCCTTCCGGCTGATCCGACCACGACGACCATGCTTACGTATCCTGCGCATTCTCCGTCGGAAATTCAAAACAGGTGAGAAATTCTTTATCAAAGAAGCCTCATCAAACAATACCGATGACACATTGCTCACCAAAGGCACGGTTACGTAATTATCGATTCCGATAATACGCAACCAACGGTACAATTTACGGCAAACACCAGAACCATAAATCTTA